ACCAAATATATTCATGAATACAATTTGACAGCTGTCATTACATAACATATATGACTGCTGTCAAAATATTTCAGTTGACACTACTTTCATTTAGTACACTATTTAGTAATCTTGATTGGTTTTGTACTAATCCAAAAGAAGTTAATCATGTATTGTTATCAAGCTTGACTATACGCCTTCATTCATAAATTACGTGATACACAGTAAATCAAAATCTGTGGTTTCTCTGTTCAATGGATATCGAGAGTGTCGGAGGAGATTGAAATCCGCCATTAACTAGAAAATCAAATTCCCTTAATTGTGTTCTAATGATGACAGCTGTCAAAACATTTGAGTAGACACTACTTACATTTACATTCCATTATTTAATACTTACGAAAAATGCTAATCAACAAAAATACCAGAAACTAGTATAAGCAAATAGATTCATGAATACAACGAAAATCTTATTTTATTCATTATTGTCAATTCAAATGATTTGACAGCTGTCATTACATACAATATATGACAGCTGTCAAAATATTTGACTTAACGCTACTTAAATTTAGTTTATACTTTAAGTATATTGTTTAGAATTAATCGTTGTATCATTAGAGACCATTTTTATTTGTTTTTTTTTTACTCGTCCTGAAGATGTTAATCAACATAATTAACAGAAATTAGTATATTATAAAACTTCATTCATAAAATATGTGATACGACGAAAATCAAATTCCCGTAATTGTGTTCTAATGATGACAGCTGTCAAAACATTTGACATTCCATTATTTATCATATTTAACACTTTCGAAAAATGTTAATCAACAAAAATACCAGAAACTAGTATAACCAAATATATTCATGAATACAATTTGACAGCTGTCATTACATAACATATATGACTGCTGTCAAAATATTTCAGTTGACACTACTTTCATTTAGTACACTATTTAGTAATCTTGATTGGTTTTGTACTAATCCAAAAGAAGTTAATCATGTATTGTTATCAAGCTTGACTATACGCCTTCATTCATAAATTACGTGATACACAGTAAATCAAAATCTGTGGTTTCTCTGTTCAATGGATATCGAGAGTGTCGGAGGAGATTGAAATCCGCCATTAACTGATTTTCGGCTGAAACAGTTGGCCGTTTCTCAAATGACCGATTCAATTGAGGATAATTGCGATTGGATGAATGGCTCAAACCGACTTGATGAATCGTCGGCTGATATGAATCGAATTTGATTACCTAATTGCGACGACCATACAGACCCGATTCGCTTTTGGTTTGGTTTATCTGAAGATCAACCATCTTCTGGTTTATTTTAATTTGTTTTGAGAGTTTGGTGAGTTTTGCCAAAAAAAAATATACGTTGTGGCCTCATTCGGGGTAATTTAATTAAAATTTACATATTCGAAAACAAACGGTGTAATTCGATAATTAGCGGATGTCCGATACGATCAGTTTCGAGGTACTAATTGGCACCAGCTGACTGTGCAATTGATCTAAGATTGCGTTGAATTCGTGTTGAAAACATTAATATTAATAAAGAAGAACTAAAGTTAAATGAAAACGTAAATTGGACAGTTTTTCAAGTTCTCATTCACATGTCAAAGGTTAATACAATTTGTTTGTATTATAACCCAATTTGTTATAACATAATATTGTTGACGCTTTGACGCAAAATGACAGATGTCAATATAATAAAATTTACAATATTATATTTTTAGTTTAATTATAAATTATTAATTAAAAAAATATAGATAATGAAAATTAATCCTTATTGAAGTATCTGCATTGAGTATCAGAAATAAGTAATGATAGAACAATTTTGATCATCTCAAAACAATTGCATAATAGATTGTAATTGTAGTTGGTGCAACTGACAGGTATTCATGTCAAGCATTGTGTGGATGTATCATTATATAATAATTTATGATATGAGAATAACTTTTGAAGGTCATGTAACAAACAAACAAAAAGTTAGATTTGTTACTAATAAGTTTTCATGATCAAAGAAAGAACAGGAAACTGAATTTGCAGCGGATGTAAAGGTGATTAAATGAATGCGCGCGTTGAGTGGACGGGGTTTGGATAATTTTCTTTCAGAGTATATAATAAATTGCTTTGTAAACATTCCGAAACGGCGCGAGCGGAGGGAGGGTTGGATGAAGAGGGTGGATTTCCCCTGTAATTTAAAGAAATGGGCCGCAAGCAATGTTTATTTTATTACATAATTCCCATCAGCCCCCTACTTTATGCCGTGTACAAAAATATCCGTTTCGATGCTCTCTTCCTTATATAAAACATAAAAAGCAGCTGCGGCGCTCCGGGGGTGGCGGTAGTCGTATTTGGTTAAAATTAATAAAACTGAACACACAGCGGCGGCGACGTACGGAAGAGGAGGGGAGTTTCCCTCTTTCTCTCTCTCTCTCTCTGTCTCCCTTTTTTCCATCCCTTTTGCTACTTTGCTGCTGTTGCTGCTACTGCTGCTACAGCATTGTCGTACAATTTGTGGGCTTATATAAGGGCGCAATAAGTCAGAGACGGTTTGCTTCGCGAGCGCAAAAGAGAGAGAGAAGTCATTGAGGGTTGAAGGGGAACAAGCGGCGTATGTTTAATTCATTCCATCTCCCGCATGCCGCCCCCTCATACCCATCCCCATCCTCTCTCTCTCTCTTCCTTTTTCCCGAACACACAATAATTGCGCTCGGGAATCGGCCCCTCGGTGACACTTGCATGGAACGACCGACGATTCTTCCCGTCTTTTTCAACCCCCTTTAGAACCTAAACCCATTCATTTCCAATGCTCACCTAAGGAAGGAAGAGCTCTTGCAAGAACAAGCAACACAAACCAGACACAACTTCTTGTCTGTTCTTTTTTTGGTTCCAAATGAAAAATTTGGGCAATAACAAGGAGCAGATCTACCCTCTTCCACGAAAACACT